GTTGTGCTGGCATCTCTGAGAACAGTCAGCACGAAGCCATTCTGCCAGCGTAAACAGCTTTTGCTTATTCTGGAATATCTTTTTGAGTTTGAGTTGCACAGTATAGCACCTGCTTTCCCTTCTCTCGTGGTGAGGAAGGGAGATACAGGATGAAAAGCATATTGAAGCCAGGAACTAGGTGGGGCGACGTATGGGCTGCACCTTGTGCCTCTCACTGTTTTCTTAGCACCCTGGACTGGTATCCCTAGAAGGCTGGCTCTTTGTCATCACCTTGTTTCTTCGATACCCGTCTCTGCATGGAAGACCTGCATATCCTTTTACTTGTTCTTCCATCAAGCAGACCATGAGGAACTCCTGTTCCATCCATGCAAAACTTATTACAAGGGCTTGGTGTCGATAAGACAAAAACACAGATCCCCGACTGGTCTTGCTACACATCAAATTCAGAAAAACAATACTGAAGTAGGATAACCAGTGTGGTGTAGTGGGTCAAGTAAAGGACTAGGACCCTGGACAGCTGGATTCAAATTCCTGTTCATCTATGGAAAACTCATTAGGAAAGGTGGGTCAGGTAAAGCCACTCAATTATCTCACTTTCCATGAATGCCATATGAAGGTCACTATAATTTGTTTTCAACTTGATGGCACACAGTACCGTCGCACACATGCAGAAGTGGAGCAGCAGTCTGGGCTGCTCTAATTCAAGTCCCACTGCAGCAGCAGTCATCAATTCACCTTCAAAATGAGCAAAATGATGGTACCTGTCTTTTATTTGATCTGTCTCAACTCACAGCTTCTTGTTAGGAATCTGCTTTCTCTCACTCTGTTCCAATATGCCTAACAACCTAGATCTTTTATAATGGAGCTGTGAATGTAAACAGTGAATCTTTTGGAAGTACAGCAATTTCCCAAAAGGAACCAGTGATGAGATGAACAAATCACAAACTCTTTTTCTGCCCCATCTTAAAGCTGCTTAAAATGCGCAAAAGAAAAACTGGGTTTTTAGGTTACCATCCTCAATGTCAAGAAGAAGGTCCCTCTGGACTCCTTGGCTCACCATCAAAATAGAAATTTTCTCACAGTTCACACGGGAGAGGATTTTTAAATGTCTTTTTCTAAAGACGTGAGAAGGGTCAGCGCTTGTGAATACGATTGAGAGGTACAAAATTGTAGCATGTGAACTAAAATTGTCACCAATTTCTAACATGTAAAAATCACTGATTCCCAATGTATATATAGAGGGACTTTAAATGTAAAGGTCAGGGAAAGGTAGCTTTCTAGATATTGTAGAAGCTTGAGTTAACTTGAGTCGGTCATTCCCTTAGCCTGAACTAGAGGGGGCAGTTTTCCCACTTAACTACCGAAGATGCTTACAGTGACTGCTCCAAGGTTGCTAGATTATCTATTAAGGTAACAACTTGAAGAAGTTACACATGAGTAAACTGTCCTCCGTCATCATGTTCTCTCCGATTCACACAACTGCGGGACTAGCAAGCTTATTTACTGGACGTGGTTTGTCACACCAGAACTGAAAACAGGGCTGTTCTACCAAACAAAGCTTCTTTGAGCCCTCGAATCAAGTCTATGATTTACAAATGTGATAGGTTGATACCATGTTGCTGTTCTGTAAATGTTCTGAATATTGTATTAGTCTCTCATGAAAGCTGCTGAAGAAGCCATTGATTTAGTTGAATGGCCTTTGATGTTTGATGGCAATTTTACCTTTGCAACATCATAGATCAGTTTTATCTTTTTATCTTACCAACCACCCAACTAGGGAAATACTGTGAAGATACTGAAAAGCCTTTTTTAGGACCTTGATAACGTATCAACAGTCTAGACATTTTTTGAAATTATTTTGTTCTTGAAAAATAGAAAACTATAGCTCTTAAAGTCTAAAGTGTGTGATGTATTTCCTAAGTAGTTTTGGAATACAAAGTTGGGAATATGAGTGGCAAAGAGAGAGAGATGAAATTATGAAACTATCTTTGGGAGGAATGATACAGAAACTGACAGTTTTACAGGAATGTATGTTGCTTTTAAGGATCTTCCCCAAAGATACAATCTTAAATGGCACTGATGATTTTTCAAAGTCAGATTGGTAAATCCTCTGCAGATTACACAACTTTTAATTTTCAAAGTCAGTTTGGTAATTCCTCTGCAGATTACACAACTTTTAACAAAATGAACCTCTCCTAAGCAAAATAAACATTAGTCATGTCCATCTGCCTGAGGTATTTTTTGCTCTACAGCCACAACAGTATTTCATTAAGGCAACTGAGGCCATAAACTCTTATGATTCAACTAATGATTTTTTTAAAAAGCAGGATAGGAGGTGAAGGAACGGCAAAAAACATTTTAAGTCTTTTTCTTCTTCTTTGGTTTAAGCAAACAGATGAAGGAAATGTAAGTAAAGATAAGTCTAGAGGCTATATGCAGAAATTATCATTTCTAAGCTCCAGAGTGCACCGAAGATGATGTTGCTGCAGCGAACAAAAAGGGACTGAGGTAAACAGGCAAAGCATGCGCAGTAAAAGGAAGGGAAATAAGTCTTCTTGAGACTAAAGCTCCAGAAGATTCTGTGGTGGATGTTCACACAGGCACAGACTACAATGGTCTGACTCATAAGAGACCATGATGGAGGATCTAATTTGTTTCACATTCTCACTGCAGCTTCAGAACGAAACAAAATAAAGGCAAAGATAAAATAAAAGGCAGTCCTTTCTGCCCCACGAAGGGGACAGATAGAGTGCAGGGCTTCAAAAAGAAAATGTTCTTTGGGCAGCCTGCCTAACACTTTATGTTGTAAAGTTTTCTGAAATCTATAATTTTACCATTAAATAGGTTTTTCTTAGACATCTTAAGTACGAAATTGTTTCTGCCTTGTATTCCTCCACAGTTATATTAAATGTAGTTAAGAAGACAATAAGGTGAAACATGCTGCATTTTTACCAGGCCTGTCCCTCTAATTAAGCCTATGTTTGCCGCCCCCAAGCAAAGCAAAGGGCGTTTATTGCATGTAAATGCACAAGCCTTGAGACCATCAGACACATGCCTAATTTATGCTATTAATATCCTAGAACCATTTAATGACCGTTTACTAATCTCTCCTGTACACAACAAAACCTGTTTTCACATATTACTGTTTGTTCTAGCATGACCCATCTTCCTGCCATGCCTGTTTGAATGTGCAGCTTATGAGAAAGTGGAATGAATGTCAAATTTGTCAAGTTTAATTTTTGCTGTTTTACAGAATCTAGTAAGCATTTTTGTACTGTCCGCATCCCTCATCTGATTCCGCCATCTTTCCCAAAGACTCATACATATTTTGATATCAGTTTTCCAATACACCTACTTCAGACCATGTACATGTACTTGTATATAATTTGCACATGATACAATAAAAGAAAAACTGTTTCCAGTCTTCCAGTGACAAGAAACCAAAAAATATGGTTGTACCATTCAACCATCTCCCATAGGAATCAGATACATTTACATATATATATATATATATATATATATATATATATTTATGTGATACCCCCTATGATTGTAAGCCAGCAGAGTCAGCACATCTCAAAGACACCAGATTGTAGAAGGCTGGTAAATGATGTAGCTTAGTGAGTTAAATCACAGCTAGAGTCGGATTCAGTGGGCCTACTCTATTTGCAACTTACTACACCCTACTACAGTAGGTCTGCTGAATGAATGAACTTACAGAGGAACCAAATCCCTGCTGATTCAGTGGGCCTACTCTATGCTAAGGAACAGGATTTCAGCCAATGTGATTTATTTTTTATACCAAGGTGAATGTTTGACATTTATCTGTGGCCACAGGCTGCCCTCTGGTGGCTGATTTGTATGGCACTTGCCCTTGCTAGAACCATTAGGTCTAGAGCTAGAATACAGACAACCAAAAGAAATGTTATGTACTGCTTCCCAGTAATAGTCTGAGGGACTTTAAACTTGTAAACTCATATGAAACAGAGATTTCCAAGCTATATCACATATTACTTTTGCAAGTCTCCTCAATTCCATGGCTTACTGTGTGGCACTGTTAATTGCTGGCTGAAAGGCGCCAAGCTCCAAACCCACTTGAGTAAGAAAAACCAAGTGTGTCTCTTATCAACAGTTAATCAGTGCAGTGATTGCTTTCATGAGAGGGTTCTGTACAGGCAGAAAGGCATATAAGGAAATCACCCCTAGGCACACTGGGCTCAGAGTATTTTACATGTTGGATCTTACAAAAAACAGTGATTTAAAAAAACAACAACAGTGACTGTGTGTTCTCTCGTGTTGACAAGTCAGAGCTGCCATATACTGACCTTAACAGGGCTTTCAAAATAAGCGAGATATTTAAGGGTGGTTTTACCAGTTCCACTGCCCCAGTGAGTTTCCATGGTCAAGTGGGGATTTGAACCCCATTCTCCATAGTCCCGGTTCATCACTTTATCCAGTCCACCACATTGGAAATCCCTTTAAAAACCTACCCTCAGGCTTTAATCAATCACCAAATTAATGTTTTTAAATATTTAGGAGGAACAGGATGCTGCTTTAACGTTAGTGTTTGAGAAGACACATTCTCTGTGTTCCTAGAGAATGTCTTGAGGAAGCTCTATTATAGCTTCTGCCCACCCACCAGGTCCTGTAATTACAATTACAGTACAGTGGTGCCGCCGCGTCAAGAAAATGGCCGCCCGCAGCGTTTTCGCGCCGATTCCTCGCTTACCGAGGCGGCGAAAATGGCGGCCGGATTGAGGATTTCTGCTTAGCGGTGAGTTTTGTCCCCATAGGAACGCATTAAACTCCGTTTAATGCGTTCCTATGGGGTTTTTTGCCCCGTATAGCAACGTTTCTGGATATCAACGATTTATCCTGAACAGATTATCGTCGCTATGCGGGGCACCACTGGATTGTAATTCTGCCCAGCTGCCAGCGTCTTCCAGGGTCCCAGAAGTGGGAAACAACATATGACAAGACTTTAAATCACTTTTTTCAGGAATCAGTTTCATTTATTTTATCAGCAATTGTTAACATGAGGTAAATCAGAATTTATTAACACAGTTTGAAGAGTTTATTTTTGCAAATATTTCTAGGGTAGGGTAAGCAACAAGGACATCATGTTAATGTGAGTCAAAATTATTCTGAAAAGATACTGTTTAGAATATATTTAAATCTATTCTGGGGAAAATTGTATTAATTTTTTTCCTTTCTGTACAAAACTCATACACCATGGCATAGCTTAAACCAAGCCATATGATTTGACAAGGTTTTAGAAATGCAACTCGTGAACTGTGACAACATATAACAATTTAGTGAATAGTAGTAACTAGTTTTTTTCCAGCTAACATTCTAGCATATTTTATTTGTCATTAAAGACTAGGTGAAAAATACCCATTGTAAATGAAAATGTTGAATGGAAACTGATTTAAGGTCTGGAACTGTATACAATTTATTTGCACATGCTACCCAGAAGGCAGTTTAACCACCTGTAGATAACAGTTACACAGGTTAATATGTTCTACGTAATGTACTAAGACACCTACTTCTTAGAGGCAAAGGAAAAAACTGACTTTTTTATCACATTCATTTATTATAAAACAAATGAACTTAAGTTAGACAGGGAAATTGAGCAAGAAGTTTAGTTCCTGTGATCATGCCAACTTTCATAAGTAAAGATGGAACGAACTCCTAACATGCTGTTCCTCTGCTCTACAAATGGGAGGAAGTAGAGAAACAAAGCTTCAAGGTATATGGATTAGAGCCATCTGTAAGAAACAAACAAACTTAACAGTGAGAATGAATTTAACTTTGGATAATTTTTCTCGTACTAGCCCACAAGTTTGAAAAATAAGATTACTTTAAAGTAAACTGAACAGATGAAAACTGACATCTTCATAAAAGCTACTATAAAATCTACTTCTGGCATCAAAACCCAGAACAACTCTTTTAAAAGTAAGAACTTCATGTCTAGAAAAAGGTTACTTACCTGTAACTCTGGTTCTTCGAGTAGTCATCTGTGAATTCACACTAATGGGTTTAATCTGCGTGTGCGCATAGGTGTCCGGAATATTCTAGAGTTTTATGCTACGTTTGTCAAGGACCGTCTCCTAGCCCGCCCACCCTCGCAATCATCTCAGTTCCTAAGAACAGCCCACCACTGCATCAAAAGATACAGGAGTGACGGACAGAGGGGAGGATGGGCAGGAAGTGTGAATTCACAGATGACCACTCAAAGAACCAGAGTTACAGGTAAGTAACCTCTCTTCTTCATGGTTTCTGTGAATGCACACTAATGGGTGACTAACAAGCTTATAGGTGGAGGGACGTCACGGAAGGATTGAAGAAAGTACAGCTCTCCCGAATGAAGCATCCTTCTTGGCTCTTAAGTCCAGCCTGTAGTGGGAGGCAAACGTGGAAGGTGTTGCCCATGTGACAACTTTGCAAATGTCTGGGAGTGGGACTCCACAAAGGAATGCTGCCTAAGAAGCGGCTGCTTTAGCCGAATGAGCCTCTTTACCTTCAGGTAAATGCTGCTTGGTGAGCTAATACGCCAATTTTATGGTAGAGACGTTCCAGCAGGAGATCGTTTGGGAGGAGACATGAGAACCCCTGTGAAAGGGATGCCGTGATATGAATAGTCTTTTTGATTTTCGAAAAGGAGAGGTCCTTGAGGTATAAAAGGCAAGAGCCCTCCTGGTGTCCAGTGTATGTAAAGATTTCTCCAAACGTAGATGATGGAAAAAAGGTAGGTAGAATTATTGGTTGGGAGAGATGGAAATGGGGCACAACCTTTGGTAAGAAGGAGATATCTGGAAACAGAGTGACCTTGTCAGGATGAAATTGGAGAAATGGAGGATCAACTCTCAATCCTTGAGGGTCGAAAGAGACAGCTGATTGTGAAACAGGTAGGAGAGAAACTGCAGGACAGTTTGCAAATTCGTAGGATTAGTAGGAAGATTATGAGAAGCAAATTTAACGAAGGCCGACCATTTGTAAGAATAGAGTTTGATTGTAGAAGGTTTCCACACATGAGAGAGGGTAGTCTCTACTGAGGAAGGATACTCCATGCTGTGAGATGGAGGGTGTGGAGATCTGGGTGGTGGGTCCTGTCTTGGTGTTGTGTGAGGAGATGTGGGACTAGGGGTAGGCAAATGTAGTCGCTGGTGATGGAGTGTAGCATGGTGAACCACGGTTGTTGTAGCCACCATGGAGCGATCAAGATTGCATTTGAGTGATCATTTATGATTTTGACTATTGTCCTTAGAAGTAGAGGAATGGGAGGGAATAAGTACATGAGATGCGTAGTCCAGTTCACCATGAATGCATCTCCCATTGATATGTGTCCATGCCTGCTCTTGAGAAGAATAGGTTGCATTTGGCGTTTTGAGGTGTAGCAAAGGCATCGACTTGTGGTTGGCCCCAGATGCTGCATAACTGAAGAAATACTGATTGGTCCAGAGACCACTTGTGCATCTGGGTATGCAATCGACTGAGTTTGTCTGCTACCCTGTTGTCTTGTGTGGTGATGTGCACTGCCACAGGAAAGATATGGTATTCGAGACATCATTCCTAGATTTAGCGTTTTGAGGTGTAGCAAAGGCATCAACTTGTGGTTGGCCCCAGATGCTGCATAATTGAAGAAATACTGATTGGTCCAGAGACCACTTGTGCATCTGGGTATGCAATCGACTGAGTTTGTCTGCTACCCTGTTGTCTTGTGTGGTGATGTGCACTGCCACAGGAAAGATATGGTATTCGAGACATCATTCCTAGATTTCCACCCCGAGAAATAGAAGCAGGAGGGAGTGTGTGCCTCCTTGCTTGTTGATATAGAATAATGCGGTGGTGTTTTCCGTTGTTACTTGCACAATGTTGCCTATGATGATTGGTTTTAAAGCTCTGAACGCCTTGAAAATGCTGAGAAGTTCGAGGTTGTTTATGTGAAGGGTGTGTTCTCTGTGAGAACAGGTAGCGTGATTGTTGCAATGTGTGCTCCATCTGATAATGCTTGGATCTGTGGTAATTTCTAGTGATGGTTGAAGCGGAATAAAAGGGCTTCCCATGAATAGGTTGGATGGACTGTCCCACCACCAGAGTTGAGCGGAGAGCTTGGGGGTGACTCTTATAAGCTTTAATGGTGACTCTGTCATTGGGCCGAAGACAGTAAGATAACAGGATTGGAGTGAACACATTTTTAGTCTGGCATGAGCAATGGTTGAGGTTGTGGAGGCCATGAGGCCCAGAAGTCATTGAGCGGAATGCGCAGTGACGCGGGAGTGAGGACGAAAGAGTGATGAAGGAGTGAAGTTTCACAGCCTTCTTTGAGGGAGAAACACCCTTGTTTGTGTAGAATCTAGGAGAGCGTCTATGTAAGTGATGCGTTGGGTCGGAGTAAGAATCGGCTTTTCCATGTTGACTTTCAGACCCAGATCCCCGAGAAGAAAAAGAACTGTCTGGATATCCATTGTAGCTTGTGTGCGAGAGTGAGAGACTACGAGTCAGTTGTCTATGTACGGAAACAGCAAGATCCCCAGGGTACGCAGATGAGCTGCTACAGGTGCCATGCATTTTGTAAATACCCTTGGTGCTGTAGAAAGACTGAAGGGAAGGGCTTTGAATTCGTAGGCATTATCTCCTACTGCGAACCTGAGGAATTTGCAGTGGTCTTGTCGAATAGTGATGTGGAAATATGCACTGTTTAAATCTATGACAGCAAACCAATCTCCTTGTTGGAGGATGGGTACGATTCATTCTAGTGTGACCATATGGAATAGTCTTTGAATGATGTATTAATTCAGTTCTCAAAGGCCAAGAGTAGGTCTTAGTCCGCCATCTCGTTTTGGGAATGTGAGGTAGCGGGAGGAGAAGCCTGGATGGTGTTCTGTGGTAATAATTGGTGATATGGCAGAGAGATTGGATTTCTTGTTTGAGGACAACGGATGGTGGCATTAGAACGATCCTTGATGGAGGTAGGTAAGCGAACTCTAACCTGTAGCGATAATGGTGAGTACCCAAGAATCGGATGTAACAGAAGACCAAACTGGAAGATGAGCTGATAGATGAGTGGCTGATGTGAAAAGATGAGTGCTGCAGATCTGGGGGACAAAGAAGTCAAAGGCCCTTTGAGGATTGCTTTGAACTTTGGCACTGGACTGTGTGTCTAGGTTGAAATGTTGAAGTTGATTGTGTTCCATATTTGTTTCTGTCAAAATAAAAATATGAGTTGTTCATATTGGTAAGGGCGACGCCATGGGGGGTTGTGGTCTATAATATGGTTGAGTATTGTAAGATCGAGCTGTCTTTTTAAATTTTTGCTGGTTCTCCCAAATCTCGTCTGTGTTTTGGTCAAAGAGCCTGTAACCATCAAAGAGTAAGTCCTCTATCCTCATTCTGACATCATCAGAGATATGAGCAGATTGCAGACATGCATATCTACGGAGGGCTACTGCTGTTGCCATGTGTCGTGAGGAGGCATCAATAATGTGCCTAGCTCTAATTCTTTCTTGACGTGCCAGAGCCATGGCCTCTTGATGGAAAGCAAGGCCATGGGCTTTATATTCACCTGCAGCAGATTGGAGGGATGGGAGGGCCTTGTTCCACAAATAACGGGTAGGCTCCCATTGCTGCGATGTAGTTGGCAGCACGCAGAGTGAATGAGGCAAGGGAGTAGATACGATGTTCCACAATGTCCAGTTTTCTACCTTATTATTTGGAGTTGTACTAGAGCAGTTGCGTGCTCTGTTTTGAGTTGCAACTACAATAACTGAATTTGGAGGTGGATGCTTAAATAGAAAAGCCACATTGTCTCCGTGTGTCTTATAAAGGTTCTCGACCTTACGAGAAATCTGCGGTATGGAGGAAGGTTTAGCCCACATTTGTTTGGTAAGTTTTAGTAGCGAAGGAATAAAACTCATGCTTAAAGGCAGAGTCTGTTGTTCACTGATATCCTCAAAAACTTTGTCTGATTGAACTTGAGATGGTTCTATGGTTGTCATAGATGTAAGTTCCATTAAAACCAACTGTGGATATGAGGCAGAGTCGTCTGATGGAGAAGGAGGATTATTGGTGTTGATGTCAGAATCGGGTTGGTAGGTTAGGTGGAGATTCCTGGTCCAGTATTTATTTATTTATTTATTTATTTATTTATTTATTTATTTATTTGATTTGATTTGATTTGATTTTTCCCCCCCCCCCCTCTAGACCATGTCTACTCGGGGTGGCAAGTTTTTAACTGGCTTTTAAAAACACCCAGCGAGGGTGCCAGCCGAATTTCTGTTGGGAGGGCATTCCACAGCCGAGGGGCCACCGCCGAGAAGGCACGGTTTCTTGTTTTTTCCTTCCGGGCCTCTCTCGGCGTCAGACCCCTCAGCCACCCCTGCTGGCTATGTCGGGTGATTCGGGTAGATCTGGGTGGGAGAAGACGATCTGCCAAATATTGAGGTCCCAGTATGGGGTGGGAAGAATCTGAAGAAAATGAATAAGAGGAAATCGTTGGAGAGGAGGGGTAGCAGAAGTTGGTTCCGGAAGATGGCTGTGAGATCGAGAAGAAGAGTGTTGATTTGGGAGCGGGGTAGTTTGTGATTTGGAAGTTTTCTTCTGAGTGTGTTTGGTACCAGAAGGTGGAGGTGGAGGACCTGTGTAGGTCATGGTTGCTTGCACTGAAGGTTGCTGAGATATGTATGCGTGCAAACTCGCTTCGGTACCGTAGATTGAATATGCTGTATATCAGGGTGCTATCTCTTTGATTTACGCTTCGGTAACAGAATGGATGGTACGGAATCGTCGTTGGATGATTAAGACCGGTAAGTTTCCTACTACTGGGATTGGTACCTCAGTGATGGAGATGAGTTGGAATAGTCCGAATCATAGTAGTATTGGTGTCGGTGTCAATGGTCGGAATAGAAATCGAGCTTGGATAGTACTGATCTGCTCAATATCGAGAGCTTTTATGGGCAGGGTCATAGTACTCCAGTGGCTCATAGAGCCTGACCCATTTAGATTGTCTATGTCCTCTGAATTGCTCTCGAGCCATGAAGGACCCGGTTGGAGTGGCAGGTCTCACGGTATCAGCACCGGGATGGTGTAATTGTGATGCATGATGTTCTTTCCTCGACTTCTTACGGGGAGGAGAAACATTGAGTGCCTGGTATTGAGTCGGATTCAGCAACTGAGATGGAGCCCACTGTCTGTCATGAGTGCAGCTGAAGACCTGGAACCAGAAGGGTTAACTGAGGCTAAGGAGAATGCTGAGCAATCAGAAACACCTGAATCGCCTCCAGATTTTCCTTCTCCAGCAGACAAGCTTCGGGCCAGGCTTTGGGGAAGACTTATGGCAAAAAGGTCAGAGGATCGCTCAAAGGCTGTCCACAGAAACATCCGTTCAACTAGCCCTGAGTACTGACAGGATGGAAAGGTTTCCAGCAGCTCCAGGGGCTGTTTTACTATAAAAACAGCTCCTAGTCAGCTAGAATTGCGTGGAAGCAATAAGTCAAAACCTCTGGCTTGCATCCACGCTCCTACAACCTTAAACCGTGTTTTCCTGAACTCCTGACTCTGGACTCGGACTTTGGACTACGTTGGGTGTTTGACCTTGGACTCTGACCTTGGACTATGTTGTGTGTTTGACTCTGGACTCTGACCATGGACTACGTTCTGTGAGTTTGTTTGGTAATTGGATATCGGCTTTGCATTCTTAGTATTCCTGACTTTGGACTGGCTTATCGGACTTCGGCTGTTGTAACCCCCGGGAACGTGACACTGTCAATAAAGGACTAGAGTGCAGTGAGGTTGGAATAACTGTGACCTCTGCAGTATCGATTGGAGAAAGCGGAGACTGAGCCAGAATAGGAGACTTGGGTTGTCTGGATGGAGGCGACAAAGCGTCATCTGGAGAATCTGTCCTTATGGTGGGTTGATCCTGAATCAGAGGTTGTTGTGATACCGGTCTATGTGGATGGACATCAGTAGAAGATATCTTGCACTTTTTGGACTTGGATTGATCTGATGTCTAAGGAGCCTTCGGTATCAGAATCAATTTGATTGAATTTGGTGGTTTTAATTTTGATTTTTGAAAGTTTTTAGAACTTGATCTTGCAGATGGGGAAACAGTAGATGGGACGGGAGATTGTCTCAGAGGTTGCGAGTTGTGAGATGACTCCATGGTCTGGGCGGGTTGAAGTGATTTTTCCCAGAGAAAAGACCTGAATCGTCGCAACTTAAGAGCTTGCTTTGTAAATTTTTTACAGAGCTGAAAAGATGAGGTTTGGTGGGATTCTCCCAAACAGAATAGGCAGATGTTATGGACATCTGTGAAGGGAATTTTATTTGAGCACAACATACACTTTTTGAAGGGGGGAAGGGGTGCCATAAATAGTGGGGGGGGAAGGGGGGAAACGGCCCAAATAATCAAGAGTCTCTCACGATTTCTTGAGTAAGAGGCTGATTTGAAGATATTTAAGAGACTGAAATAATTCCTTATTCCTTTTAGAAACAGAACGGATGAACGCAGCAGCTCAACAGAGGAGAGACCTCAGCAGCGGCAAAAAGGAGCTGAGGTGATTGAAAGGGCAAGCAGACCTCATGAGCTAGGGGGGCGGTCCTTGACAAACGTAGCATAAAGCTCTAGAATATTCCGGAGACCTTTGTGCATGCATAGATTAAACCCATTACTGTGCATTCACAGAGACCACGAAGAAGAAACCGTTCTATGAAAACATGGCAGTTTCCTTTTTTTTTCTATTTCAGAGCATGATTTCATGCATTTCCTCAGAGCTGAACCTCAGAGATAGCACAATACTCTAATTTACTTCCTTGCCTGGAATAAACTATCTTTTCTCTCTAGATATGGTGAATTCACTGCCATTGTGACAACTGTGTAAAATCTCATGATTACCAAATGATCTTTGGTATTAGATATTTTTGTTTTACTGATGAATTAGAAAGATCCATATCCATATCTGTATACCACCTGGTTGTTTTTCAAAAGATAGCAGGCACAGGATAAAGGCAAACCCCCCTTTTTTGCAAATGTACCACCAGAACCTCTGTTTAAGTTACAGTAGCAACAGTGAAATGGACAAGCCACTAGCTAAATTTACAACTTAATCTCTCATCTCAAACAATTACAGGAACCACTGTGCTTTAGAATCTGTAAAACTATATATGCTTTTCTGTATTGGTCATCTCTCATGCTTTTAAACAGCAAACAGGAATGGACAAAAAACACTACTATTTGCTGGAGCAAAGTAATGTTTGTACATTACAAAAGGTAGGGAGATGCTAACAATAGCAAAAACAAGTCAGTGTCTTACGTCTACTCATATCTGCCTATAATCAAGACATTTTTATGATGAAAATTTCATTGTGTTTAAACACCATCAAAACTCTGCCAACTAACATAAGCTATGGGTATTCCATTCTGCTTCACAGTGCCCACTCTGAAATAAAATAAAATTACCTGCTCCTACATTGGGGGGGGGGGGCAGGAACCACTTCTGACTTACTCAGAATCTCTACGTCATCTGAGAACCAGTCTGCACAATTACTTTTAAATGAGAATCAGTTTGACACAGCATAACTAGAAGGATGTACAGAGACTTCAATGGTCTAAGATCTGGTTTCTGCAGAGACATGAAATTGACTGGACAATCTTGCCATTTTCTCTTAACCTAACCTATTTCACATAGTTGTTTCAAAGACAAAATTGTTTGAAAAATAGAACCATGTTAGCCACCTGACCTCACTGGACAAAGGCAGGATATACATACAATGTATTGATAAATATTAAGTCATTCTTAGTATTTAATAGTAAGTCATTCTTACTCTAAAATAAAAGCACTAATTCCAAAAACACCATGCCACACAGACGGGAAACTGTCTTCTCCGCTAAGCAAATCCTTTAGTTGTTTTTGCACCTTACAGTAATTCCAGCTGTTGTGTTTTGCTTCTTTTCATCTAATTTTAATGTGCTTTGGTCCAGTACAAGTGACAAAAACTTGAATATAATGTTTGAATATACATTTGAATACTAAACTTTTAAACTAACCTTTACCACTACCTTACCTTCTTATCCTACCATTACTAAAATAATTATTTTACATATATTATTTATTGTTCTAAGAAATAACCTTTAAACATGAATTGTAGGAACATTATGCAGTCAGAAATGTTACTGAAACCATAATTTTTTTTCCAACAGTATACTTCATAGAATCACTTTGAACAAGATGGTACACAAAAGAGAAAGCTGTGTGTTAAAAGACAAAATGCGAAGTTTGGCATTAAGTTTAGATTGCCCAGTGAATACACTGCCTTCTGGGCAAGTATTACAAGTACTACTTTCCAGATGTTTTATTCAATTGGTAAGAAAAGACAAAGAGACAAAACATAAAGAGTAAGAGAAGTTCAATATGATGACTTACTTGGGACTCTTATCTGGTAGTGATTAAGTACTGTGAGAGCTTCCACTGCGTCTGTCTTACACTGCCACTCCAACAGACCGGAAAGTGTTTTGGCTGAAGCTATTAGAACAAGAGTTAAATGTTTTCTTCTCTCCAAAATCAGCAGGTTGGGTTGTTTGGTCTTGGGAATTTTTAAGAAAAAACATTTACTTACGTTTTGGATCAAATACTTTGTATTTGATAAAAGGCTGGACTTCATGATCATCACATAGCTGGAATAGTAACAAATTGGAAAATCGCTGTTAACTAACCAAGATCCAATCCTTGAGGATTTCACAGTATTATCAGTCTTCATGAAATAAATCAGTAAGTGCTGAACTGATTCCTGATTAAAGCAGACCCTGCTTGGGTATTTAAATGTTTGATTCACAATGAAGCAAGATAAAGGAAATTGACTCTTCACTGCAAGTAAGCAAGGCAACAGATTTGTCTTCATTTTTGCTGTACTAAAAACATTGCTTTAAAACACATAGGCAAATAACTTAAATACATTAATCCAGACATCTTACTCTCTGGATTAGACATAAGACTCTTACTTACTGTTAATTTAAATTAATTATAAAAACTACTAGACATTCTGCACAACACAATGAAATGTTTCAGAGCAGAAGTCCCCAATCCCCAACTGAGCCAGACCAGGCCGTGGAGATAGACCCCCACACACAGCCTGTTTGCGCCTGCGCATGAGCGTGCCCGCACAAGTGCTTCCTTGCCTTTTGCACATGTGCGTGAGCGTGCCCGTACAAGCACCCCCACTCCTTTGAGCATGTGCACGAGCGCTCCTTCATGCCTGTGCGCGCGCAGGGGGTGCCATGCCTTCCTCAGCTGGTCTGCGGGGCTAAAAAGATTGGGGACCACTGTTTTAGAGTAATATGAAAATTATTAGACTAGCTGGCTTGTAAAGCCATAGCATCCAACCCTACAATGCTTAACATAGTTAACTAGTGAAAAAACACTTGATATCAGTGGGATTTACTTCAGAATAAATCTGCTAACAATTAAATTGTAATGACTTTATAAAACTTAAAAAAAAATGTTTTCCACTTTTTACATTTTAAGAATATTAATATACACTGACATTTGACACCTAGATTGTACTTCAGAAGCAACAATAAAATAACATCTATTTCTACTCCTACCTTTACGAAGGTCTCTTCAGTCACACACAGAGGAACATTATAATAATGCAAGACACAAGATGGTGGCTGGATGATATTCTTGGATGCTTGGCCAGCACTGGTGAAGCGATTGTTCTTGCTCATTGCAAAATCTTTATAGCTACTTGTCCCATCTTCCAGCTCAAATATCTGACTAGGAACAACTGAATGCTGTTTGGACACACTACAATTAAGGAACACATATTGAAAAACCATTCTGCAGTTCAGGGAATTTAGAATATTTTTATGCTATTCTCAGAGGAACAGAGAAATAAAAGTTAAACCCAAAGTCAACATTTGACCTGCCAATTTGCAATGCTATGATGTACCGTCAAGCTCCCTTCTGACTTATGGTGACCCTATAAATTAGAGATCTGCAAAAGGTCCTGTCATTAACAGATCTTTCGGTTCACTGAATAGATGTTAACTAATTTGTCTAATTAGTTAAGCAAGTCAATGAAATATACAAGTGTTTATATACAGAGAAGTAAAATGTTCATTTTTACACTCTTTGAATATAGATAGTATTCTTCCCATGACAATTTATTCAAATGCTAAACCATTTTCACATTGTGTGTTGAAGCATTAGCATTAAAATGAAAAGAGTATACATACCAAACATTAAGCCTTTTCCCAAATAATTTGACGTTATTAAGGTGTGTGACTGCCCTTTCAACAGCATATTCATCACCCATTTCTACTAGTGCTGTGCCTGGAATAGTCTTCATGAACTTCACCTGCAGTATTTTGGGATGGGGGTGGGAAATAAAAAAGGAGACAAGAATTCATAGAGTGACAGGACATTTTTGAAGATTTGGTCAGAAACAACTGACACTGGATTGTTTCTATTTATTAACTTACCTTTTCAATATTTCCATACAAACAGAACAAGTTGAAGACTCTTGAGCAGTTCATCTTTTGCTGATGTAATCCACTAACCATGACAACAGAACCTGAGGGGTTCCCTCCATGCATGTAAGAGGAGGAGGCCTGAGGAAGTGGGTAAGCAACAAGTTCTGGAGTATCACGCGATGCCATTCGGTATCGGCTTGGTAATGGTAACAGAGGGCCATGCGATCCTGAAGACAAAGTATTTTTCTGTTAATTTTGTTGGAACAATTGAATTGATCCAATGTGCATATTCATCAAACCAAGTTTTAAAAAGCTGCCACTCTGCACTTCACAGCCAGACCAAAAAATCTTATTAAATGACATACTTCTGAAGAAATTAAAATAAAATTTCAATGAATAAAAATGTGACAAAAACAACATCACAATATGTAACTTTTAATATTTTGACATATGGAAATGCTTCCCAGCCATAGGACTTTCGTACTTCTTGAACTTCAGCCCCAAGAATTCATTAGGACCAGAATTCATTAAGAACCCCCTCAGCTGCAAGGAATTAGGGGCAGAGTGTCCCTTAAAAAAACTAGCAGTCTCCTAATTCTTTGCAGCTTTCATGGTAGAGCTGAGCCCCACCCACCAATTTTTTTCGGACTTCTCACAGGATGACTATGACTGTAGGAGCCTGAATAATTCACCACCTGTAAAACTTGAAAATATCTGTCTGGACTTAGATTTTTTGATTAAAGCCCCCAGAAGGCCATGAATGTCTGTGTGAATAGTACAGCAAGACTTTTAAAATTGCCAACCCTGGGTAGGGAGAAAAACTGAGGTCCTCTTCAGACAGCAAAATGTCTTGGGCTGACGCAGAAAGTACAACTGAAAGGAAACTTAGACATTTAAAAGGGGATTGTGCATATTCATAGATGATAAAGCCATCAATGGCTACTAATGATAATGATTCTATTGTACTTCTACTATCAGAAGCAGGTATGCATCTGAGTACAGTGGTGCCCCGCATAGCGACGTCAATCCGTTCTGGATTAATTGTCGCTATCCGGAAACATCGCTAAACGGAACAAAAAAGCCCATAGAAACACATTAAAACACGATTAATGCGTTCCTATGGGCTTAAAACTCACCGTTGAGCGAAGATCCTCCATAGGGGCAGCCATTTTTGGTGCCTCTAAAGCGAGGCAACACAGCGAGCGGCCATTTTGGAACCGCTGATCAGCTGGCCGAAAATGGGGCCTTTGGCATTTTCCCCCAGCTGAGCGGCGGGAGCTTCGAAGCCCCGCGGCTCAGCTGGGGGAAAATGTCGGCGGTCGGTCAGCGGTGGCTTTGGAAGGACCCCGAAGCCAC